ACCTGCCCAAGGTCACCAAGAGGGTGACTAGGCCAGGAATGAAGGCCAGTCCAGTTCTGAGTTCGCTCTCGGACTTTCTGCTGTAGAAACCCGGTGGGGTAACAGCAGCTGTACCTGGGGAAGAAGGACAAAGCTCAAGAAACTTCCAGAAGTGACCCAGGCTGGGTTGTGAAAGGTAAACATGCCTTCACCAGGTAGGAAAAGGTAGGAAACAACATACAAAAGCATGGAGGTTAGACCAGCAAATCTCTTCGGTTTTTTTTCCCCCTTCAATGTGGGGGTGGAAATTTAAGTGTAGATTTGGGGCGCCTCAGATGCCTGTGGCTCGCCCAACATCCCCTCGCCTCTCCGCTTGGCCATCTGTTCTCTCAGCTCCCCTTTGTTCCCCGCACCCCACTTTCCCTACCCGCTAATCCGTCCCCGGGATAAAAGCAATGAAGGCGATGCCCACAGGAAACCGGCAGGGGGAGCTGGGGGACAGGGAAGAGCGACCCGGAGAGTCACATCCACGTGAGTTCGCCCTCTTTTCACACTCTAGCGCCCATTCTGTCCTTCCTGCTGGATTCTGGCTCAGGAGAAGAGCGCCGCCAGGACCCCAGGAAGCTACAGACAGGACCCTCTGCCACCTCACGCGGACGCCACTGGGGGTGGGGGTGACCATTACCAGCCACTGCGCCTGCGCCAACTCAGGTTTCCTGGGCGAGCCAGAGGGGCGGGGCCTGGGCCGGGGAGGGGCATAAATAGACGGGGGGGGGGGCTGGGCCGCTATTGACCAATAGAAAAGAGAGATCGAGAGCGACGTGCTCATAAGATATCCAATCACAATCACATCCTTTGGCGGAGGATGGGGGGCGGTGGACTAGAGGTTGATCGGGTTGGTCACACAGCATCACGTGCCATGAAAAGGTAAATACGGCCACGTGGCTTTTTCTCCTTGGCTTCGAAACAGTACGTCACACTAACTTCGCTGAACAATTATTTAACGAACATATGTGATACGGTAGACATTGCGAAGACAATGTGGTTGCTGGAATTTGTAATCTCTCCATCAAATTACTCTATCCAGCTTATTTCCTTATTTCTTCATTCAAATCATCCTAGCCATTAAATTAGTTTTGCATATCCTACTTTCATACAAATGTTCATTTAAAGATTATTAAGGGAATTTATTCTCTTTCCCGAGCCTTGATGATGAAAAAGAGGTGGGTTATTTTGTTGTTGGTTTTTTTTTTTTTTTTTTTTTTTTTTGAGACTGAGTCTCACGCTGTTGCCCAGGCTGGAGTGCAGTGGCGCGATCTCGGCTCACTGCAAGCTCCGCCTCCCGGGTTCCCGCCATTCTCCTGCCTCAGCCTCCTGAGTAGCTGGGACTACAGGCGCCCGCCACCGCGCCCGGCTAATTTTTTGTATTTTTAGTAGAGACGGGGTTTCACTGTGGTCTCGATCTCCTGACCTTGTGATCCGCCCGCCTCGGCCTCCCAAAGTGCTGGGATTACAGGCTTGAGCCACCGCGCCCGGCCTGTTGTTGGTTTTATGTTTGTTTTCTTTTTTCTTTTTTTTTTGAGATAGGGTCTCTTTCTGTCACCCAGGCCAGAGTGCAGTCTCACTGCAGCCTCAACCTTCTGGGCTCAGGTGATACTCCCATCTCGCCTGTAGCTGGGACTACAGCCATGCAACACCTTGTTGATTTTTTGTAGAGACGGGATTTCACTGTGTTGTCCAGGCTGGACTCAAGCAAGCCTCGGCTTCTCAAAGTGCTGGAATTTACAGGCCTGAGCTACCACACCCAGCCCAAGAGATAGATTTTTACATCAGAGGATATCTTTAGGGCCTTTAGTAGCCCTGTGACTGCTCTCTCTCTTGTTTGTTGTGTCATCTTAAAAAAAAAAAAAAAAAAAAGTAAGCACCATTTTCCTAAAAGCCAACTTTTCTTCCATCCAACAGGGACTTGCAATTTCTTTTCACTGAAGAAATACTTTTTTATGGCCTTCACAGTTCGTTGAAGACTAAGGCCAGGTCTAACTTGATTTTGCATCCCTTGAAATTCTTCATAGCACAGTATGCAAAGAAGGGTTCTTCAGTTTATGCTTGTTGAATTTGAATTTGAGAATAGTTCCATTCTTGCCTGCCAAAGAATTAAAAAGACCCTGAGCACTGATGACCAACGCTTCATTTAGCATTCAGCAATCATTTATTGAGTGTCTCCTATAGGCAGGTAGAGAAACAAAAGTGGCTAAGACACCTCACTCTGCCTTCAACAAGTTCACAATCTGATAGCACTTCTCTGAATTATCTGGATTTGGGTTCCAAGGTCAGCTGTGCCACCCAGGAATGACTTTTGGCAATCCCTTGCATCTTTAAGCCAGTTTCCTTATCCATCAGATGTGGATATAACAGTACCTACAACTATAGAACTTCAAGGATGACAAGGTTATTGTGCAAAAGACATGACACCATCTGGAGCATACAGTGTAATATATATAAGGATGCCAGTTTGAAGAGTAGGAAAAAAAGTCTCAGAGCAGACTGAATTGTAGACAGATACTAACACTAAATCATTGTCTTGTAGTCAGCCCCAAATACATTGTATCCTCAGCATTTTGTATGGTTCCTGGCCCAGAGTAAGTGTTCAGTAAATAATCATTGGATGGATGACTAAAATGAGGGGCCGGGCACGGTGGCTCATGTCTGTAATCCCAGCACTTTGGGAGGCCAAGGTGGGCAGATCACGAGGTCAGGAGATCAAGACCATCCTGGCCAACATGATGAAACCCCATCTCTATTAAAATACAAAAAATTAGCTGGGTGTCGTGGTGCTCACCTGTAGTCCCAGCTACTGAGGAGGCTGAGGCAGGGGAATCGCTTGAACCCGGGAGGCAGAGGTTACAGTGAGCCGAGATTGTGCCACTGCACTCCAGCCTGGTGACAGAGTGAGAATCCATCTCAAAAAATTAAATAAATAAATAAATAAAACGAGGGAGTAATTATGCCAAAAGGTAAGTCCATACACACTCCTTTCTTCAAATGGAAGAAGGTCTTTTACTGCCTACCACACACCCAGAAGTGGTGGCTGTTCTGTCAGTTTCCAGTGGTCTGAAACTGCTTAATGGTGCCTTTTGATAGTTCCTATGGTCTTTTCTCAACTTTGCTTTTTTTTTTTTTTTTTTTTTTTTGAGACAGAGTCTCACTCTGTCACCCAGGCTGGAATGCAGTGACATGATCTTGGCTCACTTCTACCTTTGCCTCCAGGGTTCAAGCGATTCTTCTGTCTCAGTCTCCCGAGTAGGTGGGATTACAGGTGCACACCACCATGCCCAGCTAAATTTTGTATTTTTTAGTAGAGATGAGGTTTCGCCATGTTGGCCAGGCTGGTCTCAAACTCCTGGCCTCAAGTGATCTGCCCGCCTAGGCTTCTCAAAGTGCTGGGATTACAGGCGTAAGCCACTGCCCCTGGCCTAGCTCTGGTGAATTTCAATGTCAATATAGTCATAAATACTAACAGAGGAATTGAACTGAGTGACTTAGTGGTTAAGAGCTGGGGCACTGCCATCAGACAGACCTGGCCAAATCCTGATCTTGCCATTTGTGTGATCTTGGACAAATGACTTAACTTCTCTGAATTTGTAGTTCCTCATCCATGAAATATCAACATATCAATATCAATTGATATTCATATCAATATCACAGAACTGGTTTGAACATTTAATAAGTTGAGATGTGGAAAACTCAGAACAAGGAAGTATGCAATAAGTGCTCAAGAAATGCAAGCTGTTATTGGTTTTTTGTTTTGTTTTGTTTTTGTTTGGGTTTTTTGTGTGTGTGTGTGTGTTTGAGATAGCGTGTCTCTTTGTCACCCAGCCTGGAGTGAGTGGCATGATGACAGCTCACTGCAGCCTCCAACTCCTGGGCTCAGGGGATCCTTCCACCTCAGCCTCCCTAGTAGCTTGAAACAGGGTCTCACTCTTTCACCCAGGCTGGAGTGCAGTGATGTGATCATAGCTCACTGCAGTCTCAAACTCCCGGGATCAAGAGATCCTCCTGCCTCAGCCTCTTGAGTAGCTAGGACCATAGGTGCGTGCCACCATGCCTGGCTTGTTAATGTTTATTATATTTCATGACTATAGTGTCAAAATTAGCTTGTAGAGTGTGGTGAAGTCTTTTATTTAGAAAAGAAAGTCGTTGAAGAAAAATGGTTTAATATAGTTGAAAATGAAGGCAGAATCATGAGATGGGGGCAAGGTCTGGCTCAAACGAAAGCCTACCACTTCAGACAGGGAAGGGCAGTGGTTCAGCATGTGTTTTCTGTTGTTAGACTTGCTTGGTTCAAATTCCTTCTCTGCTGCTTACTAGATGATAGCTCTGGAAAAGTGACCTCTCCTGTTGAGCCTCAGTATAGGAAAATAATATTTGCTAATAGTGCCAATACCTCATAGGGCTGTCAAGAGGATTTACGGACACACAGTCCTGGTACAGAGTAAATAATTCGTAGATGGTGATTGTTAATCATTACTCAGGTTTCAAGGTGCTTGCTTGCTTCCTGGAAGTGTCTTTCTAATTCAACTTAGCTTCCAAGGCTGGAAGAAATGATATTTACAAAAGACTAGGCAGAGTAGCCAGGCGCAGCGGCTCACGCGTGTAATCCCAACACTTTGCGAGGCCGAGCCCTGCGGATCGTTTAAGCTCAGGAGTTTGAGCCCAGCCAGGGCAACATGGTGAAACTCTGTCTCTACAAAAAAATACAAAAATTAGCCAGGCATGGTGGTGCATGCCTGTGGTCCCAGCTACCTGGGAGGATGAGGCGGGAGGATCGCTTGAGCCTGGGAGGCGAGGTTGCAGTGAGCCAAGGTCGCGTCACTGCACTCCAGCTTGGGCGACAGAGCAAGAATCCGCCTCAAAATAAATAAATAAATAAATAAATAAATAAATAAATAAATAAATAAAAGTAAATAAAAGACTAGGCAGAGACCTAGTTTATAGAGAGAGAATAAAACAATATCCAAACATGAGGTCTTTCAACAAGGTGCTTTATTGAAGGGCACAGTGTGAGTTGAGGCAGGTAGAGGTGGTGCTTTTGAGAGGTGATATTCAACTCTGACAATACTTCTTGCTGTCCAGGTTCTTGTGTTCCTTGTTATATGGAGCTTTTGAAAAGCAGATGGCAGCATTGCGGTCGCAGTTGCAAATGAAGGCCTCACACTCTTTGTTTTTGCCTGGAGAGGGACAAGAGGAGAGGACTGAGCCAAGGTGGACCCTGTTTTGTACAATCCAGGGGCAAGAAGAATTAAGTGCAACAAGCCGGCAGCCATTCCACTGATGCACGTTTAGGGCTAACAGATTAAGCGAATACAAATACATCAGGATGCCCAGTTAAATTTGACTTTAAGATAAACAATGAATGCAATATTTGGGACATATACCCCCCAAAAAATTATCCATTGCTTAGCTGAGAGTCTTTATCTGGGCATCTTGTGTTTTTTGGTCTTGTTTTGTTTTGTTTTTAAGATGGAGTTTCCCTCTTGTTGCCCAGGCTGGAGTGCAATGGCGCGATCTCAGCTCACTGCAACTTCCGTCTCCTGGGTTCAGGTAATACTCCTGCCTCAGCCTCCCGAGTAGCGGGGACTACAGGTGCTCGCCACCATGCCCAGCTAATTTTTGTATTTTTAGTACAGAGGGGGTTTCACCATGTTGGCCAGGCTGGTCTCGAACTCCAGACCTCAAGTGATCCACCTGCCTCAGCCTCCCAAAGTGCTGGAATACAGGCTTCAGCCACCATGCCCAGCCTAGTTTCTCTACTTTAAAGCATGTATTTTTAAAATTACGGAACATCCTTAAATTGAATACTACATAGACATTTAGAAAAATTAGGTATGCCTGCACATGGAAATTTTCCCAAATAAAAAAAGCTAGTGTATGTCCCAAAAATCTGGAGGAATATGTAACTGGTTATCTTTGGGTAGCAGGATTATAGATGCCTTCCACTTTCCAAAATAGATATTTATGTAAAGTTTGAAGTTGCATTATTTTTGGCTTGTTTACTTTTGTAACCAAAATAAACAATAAGATTACATTTAAAATGCATTTAAACTTTATTACATGTAATTTATGTATCTCTGCTTACCTTCAGGAATCTTATTAGTTTTGTTTCTCTCCAATACTTTATTTTATTTGTTTATTTTTTTGAGACAGAGTCTCACTCTGTCACCCAGGCTGGAGTGCAGTGGTATGATCTCGGCCACTGCAACCTCCGCCTCCCAGGTTCAAGCAATTCTCTTGCCTCAGCCTCCCAAGTAGCTGGGACTACAGGTGTGCATCACTACACCTGGCTAATTTTTGTATTTTTAGTAGAGATGGGGTTTCACCATATTGACCAGGCTGGTCTCGAACTCCTCACCTCAAGTGATCCACCCACCTTGGGCTTCCAAAGTACTGGGATTATAGGCGTGAGTCACTGTGCTCAACTGAGTTATTTTTAATTAATATGAACAAACATCCTCTACTGCAGGTTTCTTGTCCTAGTTGCAAACATTAAAAAGAAATTGTGTGTGTGCGTGTGTGTGTGTGTGTGTGTATACATACGTGTATTTCCCTGGGGAGAGGGTTCATAGCTTTCAACAGATTTGTAAATTTGGCCTTCTAAAGTGGAACAGGAGGATGTATAAGCAAATTAAGCCATATTATTCAGTGATTAAAATAGTAACAATGGAAGAAATAGAAACAATAAAGGTCTGAGGCAATATGAAAAAGTCATGACAAGGTGATAAATGAAAAGGCAGAATGCAAGATTGTATCTATTCTGCAAAGCTGTCAAGATTGTTTTAAAAAAAGAAAACGAATGCATATCTAGGCTATGCATTCATCAATTATTTATTGAGCACCTACTATATGCCAGGCACTGCTCTAGATCTGGGGATATAGCAATAAAGAAAATAGACAGTAATTGGCCAGGCATGGTGGCTCATGCCTATAATTCCAGCACTTTGGGAGGCCGAGGCAGGCAGATCACTTGAGGTCAGGAGTTTGAGACCAGCCTGGGCAACATGGTAAAACCCCGTCTTTACTAAAAATACAAAAAATTAGCAGAGCGTGGTGGTGCACGCTTGTAATTCCAGCTGCTCAGGAGGCTTAGGCAGGAGAATTGCTTGAACCTGGGAGGCAGAGATTGCGGTGAGCTGAGTGGAGGTTGTGGTGATGGAGTGAGACTCTGTCTCAAAAAAAAAAAAAAAAAAAAGGAAGAAAATAGACAGTAATCCCTGTTCTGTGGATCTTACATTCTATTGGAAAGATGCAATATAAAGAAATAAGTAGCCAGGCATGGTAGCTCATGCCTGTAATCCCAGCACTTTGGGAGGCCAAGGTGGGAGGATTGCTTGAAGCCAGGAGTTCAAGCCCAGTCTGGCCAATGTAGTGAGACCCCGTCTCTACAAAAAAATTTAAAAATTAGCCAGGCATGGTGGTGCATGCTTGTAGTCCCAGCTACTTGGGAGGCTGAGGTCAGCAGATCCCTTGAGCTCAGGAGGTTGAGGCTGCAGTGAGCTATGGTTGCACCGCTGTGCTCATGCCTGGGTGACAGAGCAAGACCCTGCCTCTAAATAACAACAACAAAAAACAAACCATCACCACTTACAAGCTGTGTGATCTTGGGCAAATAGCTCAGCCTTCTGAGCCTCAGTTTTCTTATCTGTTAAGCGAGGATAATAATTGTACCTATCCCATAGTGTTGTGAGGATTAAAGGAGACACTGCCCAGAACCAAGAAAATTATCACTAAATCATGGCTGTTATTACTATTATTTCCCCCCAGCCTACTGAGAACCTACTAGAATTCATAGGTCAAGGAAGGGGTAAACCTACTGCTGCAGGTGATCTCAGAGTTAGAGCACGAGTATGAGTAGGTGTGGGTGTACGGGTTGTCCAGCAGAAATTTACAGCTGCTCAGCTTCTTGGCCTGGTCGTAGCAGTTGTCATGTGTCTGGCAGCACCTGGAAAGTGGGAGGGACAGCTGAGATAGTAGTAAGGGCAGAGCAATAGGTCAGCCCTCACCTGCCCACTCTCAGGAACAGGTGGGGATGACTTCGCCAAGATGCTCCAGGAGAAATGATCCTATGGCTTGAAAAAATATAAGTCCTTTTATCATATATTTATTGGAAGCATTTTTTTTTTTTTTTTTTTTTGAGGCAGAGTCTTGCTCTGTTACCCAGGCTAGACCGCAGTGGCACGATCTTGGCTCACTGCAACCTCCGACTCAGTCTCCCAAGTTGCTGGGATTACAGGCGCTCACCACCACGTCCGGCTAATTTTTGTGTTTTTGGTAGAGACAGAGTTTCACCATGTTGGCCTGGCTGGTCTCGAACTCCTGACCTCAAGTGATCCACCCGCCTTGGCCTCCCAAAGTGCTGGGATAACAGGCATGAGCCACCGCGCTTGGCCTGAAAGCGATTTTTAACATGGTTGCAAGCATACAGTAAAATCCTGTAATCAGAAGGTGCAGTGTGACACTTAACCGCTGCTAGAAAATGACACGTGGATTGTTGCTGTGATGTTTACTGTTGCCACATTCTGCCACTGGAGGGCAGCATCTCCCACTGTTTTGCATGTCGGTCATTGTTTCCATCTCTAACGGGGAGCGTTCGCTACAGGGTCCTCTTGGAACGTATTTCTTTATATGACAAGAGGTGAAAATATGTTATCCTTAGCAGATATGCAAGTCCCCTTTGTATGCCTCATGAGATCCTTGGCGTATGCCCCGCCCCGCCCCCGGCAGGCACTCCAGTTTTCCTCCAGGCGGATCACTTACTTGTCCAATTCATCCACGGGGGTGCCTGAGCCCCCCAAGCCACAGTAGCAGCCGTAGTTGTTGTATTCCAAGTAGGGGTCGCTCCCCGGGATCACACACTTGATCAATTTGCGGAACTGCCACACGGCCCGAGAGCTGATGCCGCTCTCGGCGGCAGCCACTGCAAGAAGACATAGCCAGAGTTCAAATCGGTCTGCCAGCACCCCGGGGACACACTGCCTTCCTGCTCCCTCGGGCCCCATGCTGCCTCCCTGACCCCTGCCAGCTGCCTCCTCCGAAAACCGTTGGACCCAGGAACCTGGTGAAGTGAAAGTGGGTAGAGGTTGTTGTTTTTTTTTTTATTTTATTTTTTTATTTTTATTTTTTTATTTTTTTAATTTAATTTTATTTTTTTTTTGGAGACGGAGTCTCGCTCTGTCGCCCAGGCTGGAGTGCAGTGGCCGGATCTCAGCTCACTGCAAGCTCCGCCTCCCGGGTCTACGCCATTCTCCGGCCTCAGCCTCCCGAGTAGCTGGGACTACAGGCGCCCGCCACCTCGCCCGGCTAGTTTTTTGTATTTTTTAGTAGAGACGGGGTTTCACTGTGTTAGCCAGGATGGTCTCGATCTCCTGACCTCGTGATCCACCCGTCTCGGCCTCCCAAAGTGCTGGGATTACAGGCTTGAGCCACCGCGCCCGGCCGGTTTTTTTTTTTTTAAATGAAAACTTTATATATATAAAGTTTATATATATGTGTGTGTGTGTGTATGTGTGTGTGTGTGTATATATATATATATATTCTTTTTCTTCTTCTTTTTGGATCTCACTCTGTTGCTCCCGGGGGAGTGCAGTGGTGCAATCATGGCTCGCTGTAACTCAGTCTTCCAAGTAGCTGGGACTACAAGCATGGGCCACCACACCCCAGTAATGTTTTGTGTTGTTTGTGGATACGGGGTTTTGCCATATTGCCCAGGCTGGTCTCTGGGCTCCTGGATTCAAGGGATCCTACGGCCTCAGTCTCCCGAAGTGTGCTAGGATTACAGGCATGTGCCACCCAGCTAGGCCTGATAGTTTTTGTTTGTTTGTTTGTTTTGAGATGGAGTCTCGCTCTATCACCCATGCTGGAGTGCAGTGGCACGATCTCGGCTCATTGCAAACTCCACCTCCCGGGTTCATGCCATTCTCCTGCCTCAGCCTCCCTAGGCCAGAAAGTTTTAAACTATCTGCATTGTTTATCCAGTGAATATTTATTGAGCACTTACTACGTGCCAGGCTGTGTCCTAGGAGCTAGAGATATAGCAGTGAACAGATATAATAATAATAATACTCTCTAACCTCATGGAGCTTACAACCTAGTGGGAGAGAAAAACAATAATAAATGTGATAAGGCTGGGCGCGGTGGCTCACGCCTGTAATCCCACCACTTTGGGAGGCCGAGGCAGGGGAATCACGAGGTCAGGAGATAGAGACCATCCTGGCCAACACGGTGAAATCCCGTCTTTATTAAAAATACAAAAAAATTAGCTGGGCGTGGTGGCGGGCGCTTTTAGTCCCAGCTACTGGGGAGGCTGAGGCAGGAGAATGACGTGAACCCGGGAGGCGGAGCTTGCAGTGAGCCAAGATCGCACCACTGCACTCCAGCCTTGGTGACAGAGCAAGACTCTGTCTCAAAAAAAAATAATAATAATAATAAATGTGATAAGTAAGGAAACTGGATACTCCATTAGAAAGGGGAAAGATAGAGCAGGATGAGGAGAAACTGAAAGGGAGGTCAGCCAACCTGGCCAACATGGTGAAAACCTGTCTCTACTAAAAAAATACAAAAAAAATTAGCCGGGCATGGTGGTGTGTGCCAGTTACTTGAGAGCTACAAGTCCCAGCTACTTGAGAGGCAGAGGCAAGAGAATTATTTGAAACCAGGAGGCGGAGGTTGTAGTGATCTGAGATCACGCCACCGCACTCCAGCCTGGGTGACAGAGTGAGCCCCTGTCTCAAGAATAAAATAAAGTGAAATAAAAATTAAAATAATAAAATAAAATAAAATAAAATAAATGGGAGGTTGGCCTAACTACTTAGTTGACTAAGGTGGGAGGATCACTTGAGCCCACGAGTTGGAAGCTGCGGTGAGCTATGATCACGCCACCGAACTCCAGCCTGGGCGATAGAGCAAGACCCTGTCTGGAAAAAGAAAATAAAGGCAAGCTTTCTTAGCTCAGGCAATCTGAGTTCAGATTTGCAGGTTGAAAAGGTGCCAGCCAGGCCGGGCGCGGTGGCTCAAGCCTGTAATCCCAGCACTTTGGGAGGCCGAGACGGGCGGATCACGAGGTCAGGAGATCGAGAGACCATCCCGGCTAACACGGTGAAACCCCGTCTCTACTAAAAAATACAAAAAAACTAGCCGGGCGAGGTGGCGGGCGCCTGTAGTCCCAGCTACTGGGGAGGCTGAGGCAGGAGAATGGCGTAAACCCGGGAGGCGGAGCTTGCAGTGAGCTGAGATCCGGCCACTGCACTCCAGCCTGGGTGACAGAGCAAGACTCCGTCTCAAAAAAAAAAAAAAAAAAAAAAGAAAAGGTGCCAGCCTTGAGGGAACCCCAATAGAGGAGCCCTTAAGGCCCACTGGGAATCTCGAATTGAGACTGCGGGGCTGGCCAGCCCTGTCTACTGTGGCCTGTGGCCCCCATTCCGGAGGAGTTAGATCTTAGCTCACTTGGGAGAGAAAGGCGGGCGGAGCCCGGGAGACTTGCCTACCTGTGAGCAGCACAGCCAGCACAAGCAGTTTCATCCTGCAGTCAAGGAGGTGAGAGGAGAACTGAGATGACCAGTTTCGGTTATAGTCTTATAGTCCGTCTCCACACACCCCTGCCCAGATAAGGCTGGAGTGTTTGCTTTGCTTTGCTCTTGGCTGAGTCTGGGGCTGGCCTTGAATCTGTTGCAGGAATGACCCTGACAATTTGCCAGCAAGGGATCATTGGAAAACATGTTATGCATTTGTCCTTAGCAACTGTTAACCAAAGGGATGGTTTCTGGAGTTTTCAGAGCTCACAATCTTGACCCTCATACCCACCACTTTGTACTCAGCCCAGCTTCATGGGCTGGTTGGGGAAAGCAAAGCCATCAGTTCAGTCGGACGCTGGGATAAGGGAGACAAGAAGGAAGTGCAGCCTGGGCAACATAGAGAGACCTCATCTCTTAAAAAAAAAAAAAAAATGTTAACCAGGTGTGGTGATGGATTGCACCTGTGATCCCAGCAACTCAGGGGGCTGAGGTGGGAGGATCTCGTGATCTAGGGAGGTCAAGGCTGCAATGAACCGTGACTGAGCCTCTGCAGCAGAGTGAGACCCTATTTCAAAAGAAAAAAAAAAAAAGATTGCTGCCTGCAGCCTCCATGTCTCATCAAGTGCCTGAATCTGTGCACTGGGTCTAGTTGAATAGTCCCATCAGTCATGCAGCTTGCAGATGAAGAGATAGGTTCAGAGAGGTGCGGTAACTTGCCCAAGATCACGCAGTTGGCAGACGACAAAATAGGGCTCCAGTTTAGATCTGTCTGATTCCAAGACACAGGGTTTATTTTATCCCACCACTCCCCTCTGCAGTGTGGGTTTGTGAGAAGAACCTGGGCTTTGGATTCCAAAGGCCTGGATCTAACTTATAGAATACTAAAGGACATTAGAACTGGCATATCAGAGTCCAGGCGCAGTGGCTCACGCCTGTAATCCCTGCACTTTGGGGGGCTGAGGCGGCAGATCACCTGAGTTGGGGAGTTCAAGACCCGCCTGACCAACATGGAGAAACCCCGTCTCTACTAAAAATACAAAATTAGCCAAGTGTGGTGGCGCATGCCTGTAATCCCAGCTACTTGGAATGCTGAGGCTGGAGAATGGCTTGAACCCTGGAGGCGGAGGTTGCGGTGAGCTGAGATGGCGCCACTGCACTCCAGCCTGGGGAACAAGAGCAAAACTCCATCTCAAAAAAAAAAAAAAAAAAAAAAGAGAACTGTTACATCAAATATCGATATAACATTGTTTTGGTGAAATTCACATAGCATAACCACATTTAAGTAAACAATTCAGTGACATTTAGTACCTTCACAGTGTTGTGCAACCATCACCTGTACGGGGTTCCAGAACATTTTCATCACTCCAGAAAGAAACCCTGTACCCATTAGCAGTCATACTCCCTCAGCCCCTGGTAACTGCTCATCTGCTTCTCTCTCTCTCTTTTTTTTTTTTTTTTGAGACAGAGTTTTGCTCTCATCGCCCAGGCTGGAGTGCAGTGGCACAATCTCGGCTCACTGCAAACTCCGCCTCCCAGGTTCAGGCAATTCTCCTGCCTCAGCCTCCCATGTAGCTGGGAATTATAGGCACCTGCCACCATGCCTGGATAATTTTTGTATTTTTTGTACAGACAAGGTTTCACCATGTTGGTCAGGCTGGTCTCAAACTCCTGACCTCAGGTGATCCACACGCCTCAGCTTCCCAAAGTGCTGGGATTACAGGCATGAGCTACCTTGCCTGGTCTCTGATCTGCTTCTCTCGCTATAGATTTATAATTGGTTAACTTGGTGCTCTTCTGTTTCTATGTGACCTCTACAACAACCCTGTGGGGTAAGGAGGGCCTAGTTAATTTATTTATCTGTTTTTGTTTTGTTTTGTTTTGTTTTTAGAGACAAAGTATCGCTCTGTTTCCCAGGCTGATGTGCAGTGACACGATCATAGCTCACTGCAGCCTCAACCTCCTGGGCTCAAGCAATCCTCCCACCTCAGCGTCCCGATTAGTGGGGACTACAGACATGTGTCACCACACCTGGCTAATTAAAAAAAATTTTTTGGGCCAGGCACAGTGGCTCACACCTGTAATCCCAGCACTTTGGGAGGCTGAGGCGGGCAGATCACGAGGTCAGGTGATGGAGACCATCCTGGCTAACACGGTGAAACCCCGTCTCTACTAAAAATAAAAAAATAAGCCGGGGGTGGTGGCGGGCACCTGTAGTCCCAGCAACTCGGGAGGCTGAGGCAGAAGAATGGCGTGAACCCAGGAGGCAGAGCTTGCAGTGAGCCAGGACTGCTCCATTGGACTCCAGCCTGGGCGACAGAGCAAGACTCCATATAAAAAAAAATTTTTTTTTGGAGACAAGGCGTCTCCCTATGTTGCCTGCCCAGGCTGGTCTTGAACTCCTGGCCTCAAGTGATCCTCCCATCTAAGCCTCCCAAAGCATTGGGATCACAGGCATGAGCCACTGTGCCCAGCAACCTTGATAGTTTTGAGGAGTATTGGTCAGGATGACCCTCTCTTGGAATTTGTGTGTGTGTGTGTGTGTGTGTGTGTGTGTGTGTGTGTGTGTGTTTGTTGGAGTCTCACTCTGTTGCCCAGGCTGGAGTGCAGTGGCACAATCTCGGCTCACTGCAACTTCTTTCTCCCAGGTTCAAGTGATTTTTGTGCCTCAGCCTCTGAGTAGCTGGGATTACAGGCACATGCCACTGCGCCCAGCTGATTTTTATTTATTTATTTTTATTTATTTTTGAGACAGAGTCTCACTCTGTCACCAGGCTGGAGTGCGGTGGTGTGATCTCGGCTCACTGCAACCTCTGCCTCCCGGGTTGAAGTGATTCTCCCGCCTCAGCCTCCTGAGTAGCTGGGACTACAGGCGTGCACCACCACGTCCCCCTAATTTTTGTATTTTTAGTAGAGATGAGGTTTCACCATGTTGGCCAGGATGGTCTTGATTTCTTGACCTCGTGATCTGCCTGCATCGGCCTCTGAAAGTGCTGGGATTACAGGCGTGAGCCACTGTGCCCAGCTCTCTATTGGAATTTGTCCTATGTTTTTCTCATAATTAGATTAGAGTTATGGGTTTAGGGGAGGAAGACCACAGAGGCAAAATGCTGTTTCATCACATGGCTGCTTTATGTTTAATCATCTCTTTTCTGGGCCGGGCGCAGTGGCTCACGCCTGCAATCCCAGGGCTTTGGGAGGCCGAGGCAGGTGGATCACCTGAGGTCAGGAGTTCAAGACCAGCCTGACCAACATGGTGAAACCCCATCTCTACTAAAAATACAAAATTAGCCGGGTGTGGTGGTGCGCACCTGTAATCCCAGCTACTTGGGAGGCTGAGGCAGGAGAATCACTTGAACTCGGGAGGCATTGGTTGCAGTGAGCCAAGATTGTGCCACTGCGCTCTAGCCTGGGCAACAGAGCAAGACCCTGTCTCAAAAAATAAATAAAAATAGAAATGAAATACCATTAAAAATTCAGTTTCTTGGTCACAATAGCTACATTTTGAGGCTCATAGACACACGTGGTGGGTGGCTGCCAGATTGGCAGCCACAGAATGTTTCCATGATCCCAGAAGGTTCTGTTGGATAGGGCTGCTGTGGATTGTCACAGAGCCTGTCTCAGGGCTGCCCCATGGGAGGTGGGGGCTATGAGAACTAATGAAGGGGGCCTTGGGTAGGTCAGAATCCCGCATCAGCTTGACTGAATGGCCCTGCCTCTGCAGCCCCAGAATGAGTGGAGTCTGCCCAAGCACAGCGAAGCCTTGCCCAGCAAAATCTTCAGTCCCTCTTATGTGGGTTCCTTGGGGTCATAACAAGACAGAGGACCAGGCACTGCTCCTAGATTTAGGCCTGAAGGACACTAAGTGGGTGACTGGGGTGGCTCAAAGAAGGAGAAGCAGCTGTGGTTGCAAGTAAAGTTATTAATTAACCTTTTATCCAGGCTGGAGTGCAGTGGCACAATCTTGGCTCACTGCAACCTCCACCTCACAGGTTTAAGTGATTCTCTTGCCCCAGCCTCCTGTGTAGCTAGGACTATAGGCATGTGCCACCACGCCTGGCTAATTTTTGTATTTTTATTAGAGATGGTGTTTTGCCATGTTGGCCAGGCTGTTCTCAAACTCCTGGCCTCAAGTGATCCACCCGCCTCGGTCTCCCAAAATGCTGGGAATACAGGCGTGAGGCACTGCACCCGGCTATGAATTACTATTAACCGAGTGCTAACTCCATCCCAGGTCCCATATGCTAAGAACCTGGCACAAAGGTTGAGGTAGGTCCAAGTACAAACTTCATTTTATAGAGAAGACAGCTGAGGCTGAGAGAGGTTAAGTGACTGCCCCAGAGTCACACACCAGGACCAAGGTAAGAGTTGGATTTGGTTCTCATGCTACCATCTCAGGCCAGGGAGTACTGAAAGTCCCTTGAGGAAGGAAGAGATTCAGTTCAACCTACGACTTCCCTCCTTCCCCAGCCCATGAAAGCCTTCCTAAGGACAATCTGGACAAACTCCACGTGCTGGAGTTTAGACAAAGCACCTGGTGGGGAGGGGGTCAGGTTGCTGCCACAACCTTCTCCCCCTGGAAAGAGACATGCTAACTCTTGACAGCCCAGACCTCTGAGGCCCCGGCCACAGAGGTGACAGTATAAGGGACCTGGAAGGGCACTGGGTAGCTCCCCAAGGCCCTGTGCTCTTTGTACCTTGACCTTCCACCACCCCAGATCCCTGCACAGGTGTGCAAAGCATAGCCTCTCCCAGCCTGGGAAAAACACACTCTTCAGTGGAAAGTACAGCTAAGCATAGCTTCTTGACTCCTTCAGGTGATGGCATACCCACACTTTAGCAAGGTCACGTCTTCTTGGCTTCTAAAGGGTAAGGCTCCTGTTTCTAGGAAGTGCTTGACAGCAGCTGCCAGCTACCATTTGCTGAGTGTTTCTCTACGCTTGGCATTGTGCAAGCACTGTGCTTTACATATGTTGTCTTTCAGCCTAACAACACTCTTCTGATATAGTTATTATTGCTGTGATGGTTGTCATCATCTTCCCCATCTTATAGATGATGAAGCAGGTTCAGAGAGTTTAAGTAACTTTCTCAAAGTCACATGGCTAGAAG